CTCTCTCTCTTCTCTCTCTCTCTCTCTCTCTCTCTCTCTCTCTCTCTCTCTCCTCTCTCTTCTCTCGTCTTTCTCTCTCTCTCTCTCTCTCTCTCTCTCTCTCTCTCTCTCTCTCTCTCTTCTCTCTCTCTCTCTCTCCTCTCTCTCCTCTCTCTCTCTCTCTCTCTCTCTCTCTCTCTCTCTCTCTCTCTCTCTCTCTCTTCTCTCTCTCTCTCTCTCTCTCTCTCTCTCTCTGTCTCTCTCTCGCTCTCTCTCTCTCTCTCTCTCTCTCTCTCTCTCTCTCTCTCTCTCTCTCTCTCTCTCTCTCTCTCTCTCTCTCTCTCTCTCTCTCTCTCTCTCTCTTTCTCCTCTCTTTCTCTCTCTCTTCTCTTCTCTCTCACTCAGTATATATCTACACTTGCCCAACTAGTTTCCTTGCCTTTATGCTCATACTTTCACTCACTCATCTCTTACCCTCATACTCATTCTTATTTTCTTACTCATTCTCACTCATACTTTCACCCCTCACTCACACTCACACTCACACTCACACTCACACTCTCTTACTCTTACTCTCTTACTCTCTTACTCTTCTCACTCTTTTTTAATCTTACTCTTTCATACTCACTCTCGAGCAATTTTGTAGGTCTCCTTCTGTCCAGTTAATCAGTTTTATGAAATACAAATATAACCTGTGTTTACTCGGTACATTTCAGAATGGGGTGATTAATAACAAGATCTACCAACCACATGAAGCCCATGTGCCATATGTGCTTCAGTTCCTGATGGATCATAATTTACATGGGATGAACATGGTCCATTTGGGTACCTGTAAATTTAGGAGGAAAAAAGGTGAGCAAGCTTTGAGTGCAGTGTTGTTTTCAAATCCGTAAGGGATGGAAGTGTCACAGTTTTTTGAATTGTACAGAATAGGAAAATAACCCTTAGTTCTCCAGGTAATAGTTGGGTTGTCTTTTATGCTACTTTGGTGAGGAAGATAGATTAACCCTAGGTGTCTAATGTTGTGCTAGAAGTACTGAACAAATTGAGTACAAATGAGTTTTGATACCATGGATATTGGGTTGATGTATAAATAACTTGTAAATCAAATTTGTTGATAAAATTCTGCAAATATTGCTCCTGAAATCCGAAGCACTGAAATTAATAATGGGGATGGAATAGATTGCCTTCAGAGATTGTAACTTCTCCGACTCTTGATAAGTTTAAAAGATCAGCTAAAATGTTTTTACTGTGTAGAGATGTTGATGATTTTCTATAATCTCTTTCTTAGCTGTTTTTTTTGTCTTAGATTGACACCTTTGGTGATGTAATTTTCAAGTTTGTGAGTGTGGCTCATATAGCTTACCATGGTAATAACAATAATAATAATATCATATCTCAGCAGGATCTTGCTTAGATAGTGTAGGTTTGAGATCAGGAAATAGGCTAGACATATGTAAATATTGTGGTTTTGGCATCAGCCACCTACGTCTGTCACTGGAATTTCCTTCAAAGAAAAAACTTTTGGAATCTTATGTTCCTTTTTTGTACCATTTTTTCCCTTGTCTCTCTTTGGACTGGTGATGGTAGTGTTGAACAAACTGATGACAAGCAGATTCAAATCAAAGTGCTGAAGTATTGAAGCAAGTGAATGTCAGACTAGTGAGACCTAACCTGTATTGTCACTTCTTTGGTTATATTGTTTCCATATATTTTCAAGAGCAGTGGTTCTCTGTGTCTATGGGCACATTCCTGTCCTTGTGATCCCAGGCAGATCCCATTCCTCCCCAATTTCAATTTTAATCTAATGAATAATTTCATCATCATATTTTTTCACAGTGGCAATAACTCTAATGATATAGGAAGATAGAACAAGAGAGAGTAATTAAATATGAGAACAAAAAAACTGTGAACAGAATTATATTTCAATTAGAACAGTTAGTTAGTACCTAATTTGACCCTTCAAGATTACCCAAGAATGTTAATTTCTTGTTGCCTTTACCCAGGGGAATATTGATATTTCTATACATAATTGGTATGCAAATTGATTTATAGTACATCCCTGACAAAAATTCTTTGTGAATCCTACCCAGGGATTTAGGGAATCACTGGTCTAGTATATAACAATATCTCTCATAGGATGAACATTAGAGATTCTCTTCTGATACTATTCAATTTTGTCGTTTCCAGAAATGGGAGATATCAAGGAATCTGCAAAACAGCACCCTGAAGTAGTATTCCTGGGCCATCTTCTGCCGACACTGTTTCTCATGAGTCTTTTAGTAGTAACAGCAGCCAGATAAAACCAAGTACTAAAGTATGGACAGAAGAGAGCATACCACAGCACCTTTGGCTAACAGAAACTGTGTCCCGGTCGACTACTTGTGAAGTTGAGGTGGACGCTCTGTTCTCTGATATCATTAACAAAATACAGCTTGGTGGTAAGTTGTTAATTTATTTGGGTTTTACTGACTGAAAATATCACTTTCTGTTTAGACATTTATTTATATTTCCAGATAATTATCCTATATATGTTATATATATATATATATATAATAATATAATTATATTATATAATATATATATATATATATATGTATGTATATGTGTGTGTATATCTGTCTACTCTATCTATCTATCTATCTATCTATCTAATCTATCTATCTATCTATCTATCTATCTATCTATCTATCTATCATCTATCTATCTATCTGATCTGAATAAATATATATAAATATATATAGATATATATAAATATATATAGATATATATAAATATATATAGATATATATAAATATATATAGATATATATAAATATATATAGATATATAAATTATATATAGATAGTATATAAATATATATAGATATATTAATATATATAGATATATATAAATATATATAGAATATATATAATATATATAAATATACATATATCTATATATTAAATATATATAAATATTATATATAATATATATAAATATATATATATATATACTAATATATATATATATAATATTATAATATATATATATATATATAAATATTATATATAAATATATATATTATAATATATATATATAAATATATTATATATACTATATATACTANTATGATAATATATAATATATATATATATGATATACTATATAACTATATATATACACACACACACACACACACACACAGCACCACACACACACACACACATATTATATATATAATATATATATATATTATAGCTATAATATAATATATATATAAATATATATATATATATATATATATATTTATATATAGTGTGTGTGGTGTGTGTGTGTGTGGTTGTGACTTGTTGTGTGTGTGTGTTGATGTGTGTGTGTGTTTGTCTAATTATATATATATACGTAAGATATATATATATCATATAGTTATATATATTATATTAATATATATGTATGTATATTATTATGTGTATATATATATGATATTATATTATATATAAACTATATATATATTAGTATATATATTACATCATATATATATATATATATATATGTTGTGTGTGTGTGTGGTGTGTGTGGTGTTGTGTGTCTTATGTGTGTGTGTGTGTCATTACTAATATATACATACTATATATATATGTATATTATATATATATACTCATGTATATTTATGCATTTACATATTTCAATGGCGTCCGTCCACGTCATCTTTGGTCTTCCCGTTTTCTCCTTCCTCTCCGAGTCCCTTCCATTGCCTTCTTGGCCCATCAGCTGTCCTTCATTCCGGGTGGTTGTCGTGGCCACGCCCATTCACTGGCTTGGTATGTCTTTCTTGCACACGTTCTTTCCTTTCTGTCTGTTTCTTACTTTGTATTTCCTTGTCATATTTAAGATGGCCTTTCCGCGATTCTCTGGCCAACTGATATTTTTTCATGATTCGCTTGGCTTCAGCTCCGTAGGTTATGGTTGGCACTGTGACGCTGTCCAGGGTCTTTCTCTTCAGACTTCCTCGTATCTCCTGTTGGAAAGGAGTTTGCTGTATTGACAAAAACTTTCCTTCCTGATTTCATTATCCTGTTAATTTCCACACTCGTTTCGTTTTCATGTGTGATGTAAGATCCTGGTTTTCATCTACTTCCTCAAGTCTCGTTGTCAGTTGACATCCTGACCTTGGCTTCCTTTTCCCAGCTTCATTGCGCATGACTTGTCTTTTTGGTGTTCTCGCTTTCTGTGCGATTGCTTGCAGAGCCATTAGGGAAGAAATGGAGAGCATAATACTATCAGCAAAGAATCAGTGGAGATTGGTGAAGCCCTGAAAAAATAATCAAGGCGAATGTAAGTGTAAACCTTGCTCTGAAAGAAAAAGTTGAAGCTGCGACAGCTATCAGAGAGAGAGTGGATGAAAGATGTGCAGAATTCGATTAAAAATTGCATGAATATAATGCATATGAAAGAATGTACCAGCCTACACAAGAAGAACCGCCTATACATAAGTGAAGTTAAGATAGCATTGAATACATACATACATACATACACGACACACACACACCACACACACACACACACACACCACACACAACACACACCACACACACACACACACACAACACACACACACACACCACCACACCACACCCTACTATATATATAATATATATATATATATTAATATATAGTTATCCTCCCTATACTACGTAGTTACATATGTATTATATACGTAACAATGATACGAATTTTTATTATATAATATATATCTATAGCTATCTCTCATACCTATATAATACTATATACATACCCTTACACTTATATACCGTATAATATATGTATTTACTCTCTCTCTACTATATATATACTATATATATATCGTACTATATTCTTTATTATATATTATATTGTACTGCATTGCATTATGTGTGGTGATACTCTCACTAAATGGTATATATATATATATATTATATTTATTACTATATATATACTATATAAGATATATTTGACTATTATATTATATATTATACATTTAATAATATAACAGCGTAAGAAAAGATAAGTCAAAAAAGAATAGAGAAGTAAAAAAAAGACTAAAATAATAAATAGGGAACTACCAGAACACAAAAAATGGAAACAAAAGACAAAGCAATAAACAATAACATAGCAACTAGAATAGATGTACAAAATAATAAGACACTCATAAGTGGATAAACAAGAAAATCACGATATATACGATAGATAGCTCTAAAAGAAACCTAGCAACCACAGCCACCCCAAGAAATTAACAGCAAAAAAACTATCCAGCACGCGCGCCGCACTACAAAAAGAAATAAACGTGACTCCTCTCACATAAAAGACCATACTACATTATACTAGAATGATGGCCAATGCATGACATATGTGATAGTCATGATATAAAAATGATAAACTCCCGAACTATACTAATACTACCGATATATAACATTAATATATACGATATATATGACATAAAACAGTATATAACCCTCAATACCATAAATATATACAATAATCCTATATACTAGTATACTATCTAAGCATAATACACTACATACTATATATATACACAGTCCATGTCATTGCCATACATGCAATGTGTATATAGTCATAAACTGTCTAGCCACACCATGTGTACGCTAAACATATACAATATCTATAAATAGTTCAACTAATAAAAAAATAAAGGATACAACAGAACTAACTATCCATAGAAAACAAACACACAGCAAATAACGCGGTCATACTAGTATACATGCATAAAAGAAAACATAACTACACGATAAATATCATACAGTTACTTATACGACATCCCTATATATATATGAATCAACACCCTAATACAATTCATCTATAATCATAAAAAAATATATAAATATAATATAAAAATAAATATATCCTGCAGCGAGGATATACAACACGATACTCATCTATATACCCCCTACTACTGCATGCATGGCAGTATGTGTAAATCATATAGTTATCCAATGTGTAATATGACACAAAATATTACATCCAGCATAAAAAAGAGAAATAGAAAAATCATATATATAGTATAATAAAGACTATACAAAAAAACATAGTATATAATTAATATATAATAAAATATAACACAACTACCATATAATAATGATTAAATGATACGCTATATCAAAATACGGTTACCCCCTATAACGTACACTTCAAAATAACTATTACACGCTACTAGAAAAGAACCCGAGAAAAAACACCACATCTATTAAACCTTAACATCACTAAGCTAATATATAATTATTACACACACACACACACTATATACTACATACTTACAAATAAACATATCATATAGATCCACATAAGGAATAATAAGTAAATAGCACGCATAAAACAAACAATAAAACCTAGCTCACCACAAATTACTAAAAATAACAAATAAGAATCACCACTTATTTTAATCCTAATTTTTAACATTCCACCCCCCCCCCCCCCCCCATAAGTTTTATACACATCTAAACACCTAATTATATAGCATTACAACCACCTATACCAAATATAATATTACATCATAACAGATATACAATACTAATATCGCACACTCGACTAAATATACAAAACAACAACCTAGCACTCATAAATACAGAACAACACCATATATCACAAATTATGTATTAACGCATATATATAAGATAATAAGTATTAATGATAATATATATATCCATAATATATAATAAAATATAAAACTCAGCTATCAGTATTACCATATATACCTACAAAATAAATATGATAAACTCGACAACTAGCTACCCTACCCCCTATCCTCATTAACACTACCAATATACCTGCCAGCCAGCACGCACTAACTATCCCTACTCACTACCGCTACCACCCCCACCCACATCACCACTAAACCCTCACAGCCCCTGCCCCCCTCCCCCCCCCTACGTCATCCATCACTGCATACCCCCTAGCTATATAACCCGCACACCTATATCACCCATCTCATCAGATTATACGCCTACTCTCCACCGTACTCGTATCCGCACACTCAACACCACCCCGCTTCCTCCCCCCTCCCATACCCTCCCCTACCTCTCCCTCCCTACCCCTCACTACTTCACTTACACGCAAATCACAAACGATAAACACAAAAACAATTTATATAGTATATATATGTATATAAAGTATAAGAAGTATAAACGTACTACAATACGTAAGAAATCACTACTCACTCGTATAATAGAATATTTATATAACAAAGAAGTATACATAACAACCAAAACTATATGATAAAGATAGACACTATATACCTTATAATACACAACTAACCTTCAATTACTCTCAAATACGTCTCAATATAGCATGCTACAGCCACAAACACAACAAAAGCCCCCCACCAAATAAATCTAATGCTAACAACAAATACCTATATCCATATCACGTACTATACAGATATAAAAGCCCAACACCCTATG